CAGGAAAAAAAGTCAAAAAGATTTTTTTTTTGTTTTTTGGGTTTGTTTGGCGACAAATGGACTTTGATTTATTCTGAAAAGTCGATAAATTGTTGTGCAGTTGTTTTCCATTTGTGCACGTGCACGCTCTCTCCGTGGAGACAACATAAATGGGGGGGGGGATCAGGATGTGGCAGCACTGATGGGACCAGGGTGGCTGCCACTTTTGTCAGACGACACAGACACAGAATATTTTCCTGAACTGATGAATAAAACAACGGAGGCGTCGGTGTTTTACAGCCGTGGCTCTGTCCGACTGGGGGGGGGCTGAGAGGGGGGGCACCGCAGGTGCACGCCAAGGGACGTCGTGCCAAATAGACTGTGAGCTTTAACAGGAGCTGCAGATGTTGGAGTCACATGACCACACACCTCATATTCCCGTCTCCGTTCACTTCCTGTCTGCGCTCCGTGAACTTTTTTTTTCCATTTTGGTGAAGAATGCTCGACTGCGTCCGACTGTCCTGTCCTTCTCGTTCCCGAAGGGGGGGCACCGCAGGTGCACGCCAAGGGACGTCGTGCCAAATAGACTGTGAGCTTTAACAGGAGCTGCAGATGTTGGAGTCACATGACCACACACCTCATATTCCCGTCTCCGTTCACTTCCTGTCTGCGCTCCGTGAACTTTTTTTTTCCATTTTGGTGAAGAATGCTCGACTGCGTCCGACTTCCTGACGTTCCTGTCCTTCCCCTCGTTCCTGACGTTCCCGTCATTCCTGTCATTCCCGTCATTCCTGTCATTCCCGTCGTTCCCGTCATTCCTGACGTTCCCGTCGTTCCCGTCGTTCCTGTTGTTCCCGTCGTTCCTGTCTTCGCTCCGGCCCATTGTTTCGGTCCAACAGTGGTTGAATAGTCCGAGGCTGTTTGTTAGCGGGCCTGTGAGAACAGCCTGGCAGTAGGACAAGTCATCAGTGGTCAGTGTACCAGACCAGATGGACCCCCCCCACCCCCCTGACCCCCCCCCACTTCACTCTGGGCTTCATACATAACCACACACACACACACACACTCAGATTCTCATCTGCTGGACGCCTGCCTGGGTAAGGCACGACGATTCGCCGCCGCTGCCAAATCACGCACCGCGCTTGATAAACAACGTGTCGTGCCAAATGAGCGGGAAAACACAATACGGTAATGTGGCCGCAGCGAGGGAACGCAGCGGCGAGATCAGAGCGAGCGGAAAAGTCTGATTAAAGTTTGAACATCTGGGATTTTAGTCCAGGTTTTATTGATCCATTTATCAGAAAAAAAGATCAATATTTGAATGACAGATTCCACCTCAGACCATGAACTACTGCGATGATTTTAGGGTCAAGTTTAACAGGAAGTAAACGTAGGAAACATGTCTCTGTCGTGAATGGATTTCCAGATGTAATGATTATTTCAGACAATCCTGGTTTTAAAGGAAACCAAATACAGAATAATAATAATTTGGATGTTTTTACTCTCCAGTTTCAGTCGCTGCAGTCATCGGTACTGGAACAGCTTTACATTTAAGCATCAAGTTTGTGGATTTTGTAGAAAAGCTAGGTGGCGCTAAAGTGCGGAGCAATAGGAAAAACTAAGCGTCTGTTGTCATTAAAGACAAACTAACGTTAAACAACATCCTGGAAACAGACGTTAGAAAACGTTGAAGAGGAGTTTCTCTGCCGTGTGTTGGTTTGTTGATCTGGACTGATGTGTCACAGAGTTACATTTATAACCTACTTCCAGGCGGCTACGCTAACGCTCATCTGGCTCACACCAGGCCATTAGCATACGTGGGTGGAGGTGTGTGTTGGTGCCTGACCTGATGGAAGTAACGCACAGCTGTAAAACCAGCGGCCTGTGTCGTTCATCCACCTGTACACCACCGCACACACACACACCACCGCACACACACACACCCCCGCACACACACACACACACACACGTCTACACCCAAACGACCCCGGGTCTATATAGATGTGCACACACAAATACAAGAGCAGAGCTAATGGCTCTGTAGCTGAGAGAGAAGTGTTTGGGGGGTGTGGGGGAGGGTGGGGGGGGTAATTCATGGGTGGAATAGGACCACTGGAGGCAGTCGGCTGTTTTAAGCTGGGAGAGACGGGAACG